AGAAGCCAAAACAGTGAAAAGTTGGAAAAAATGACTAAATTAGCCTGGAAAAAGCAAATAGTTCCTGGCACGCGCTGCGGCCCGTTGACGACCGCCCTAATCAACTGCCCGGATGACGAGGTTACGGGGGGGGGGTGCTCCGCCAGCACCTCTTATCCCTCAATAATGTAGTATTGAAATGCTTGTATTTTCAGGGTATAGCATCGTTGTGTGAAACACATAGGGGGTCGTATTTTCTGCTGGGGAATGGGGGTCGTATTTGGTCGTTGTGAGAGGGGGGCGTATGTGCCTTTAAAAACATTTGCTGCGTTGGAAAGGAATTTTTCCTGGTTTTAGACTTTCGCGTGATTTCTCCTGTTTTATGTGTGCTATGTACCCCTTAGTAGATAGGTGTTGGGGGAGGGAGGGGAGGGGATCGCACCGAGACTCCCACTTAGGTGGGGGGGGGTCGTACTGACACCACCATTACACACATCACGATGCTATACCCCTTTAGTCAGGGCTGAGGCTTAGCGAACATCTTCTCCATAGATGTCACCATCTTTCGTTCACTGCAGTCGTCGGCGCTCTGAATTTGAGCCTTTTCGAGGAAGGAACGTAGAGGAGCGGCCGAGTGCTCTCCCTCCCCCTTCCCTTTTTGTTATAATTTCCTCTCCACACGGCACCAGTGTGGAGAGGAAATTATAACAAAAACTAGGAAGCATTCGTATTCGCTTATCCGCCTTCTGTTGATGGTAGTTGAGCTCGGCTCATGCCAAAGAGGAGCGGACCTCTAGAAAAAGAGCGTAGCCCAGTTCCAGCCATTACGTTCGCCTTCTAACCGTGAGCTAAATACCGTAGCTTCAGAATAATTTTATCTAGGAGTATAAAAGCACTGGTTTGTGCCCTCTGCCATTGCCATAGGTCATTGCATAATCATAATGTGCTCTCCTGAACTCTACAATCATTCGCGAGTTTATTTTTGCCCCTTTCACTTTCCTATCGTTTCTTGCGCCTGTCAGTTTTGTTTAACATTTCCTTTTTCAAATAATGAACATTACTGGGTGCAAGCGTGGAAGAGCTGCCATTTTTTTCAGAGTGAATATTAATATTCACGTGACGATGCGCAATTACAATGCAAAACTGCCTTCCGTGGCATGGGTGGAATGCACAAAGTTTCCCTAGTTTTAAATGTGGGCACTTCCCGATTGAAACGATCGTTCTGGTGTTGACGTATGAACTTGCAAGTGCAAAGTGA